TTATGTGTCTATTGATGGCTGATTTGTCTGAATGCTAAGCTTCCAGGAATTTCCTAACGTTTTTGGCTTTAGCTTGGTCTAGGATGTTCAGTCTCTCAGTTGAAACTATGGCTGGGTCTCTCCATGTGTGGTGAGATTAAGGAGTTTTCATTGCATCTTCTGACTGCTAGTTGGTGTTCATGGATGCATTCTGTTAGTCTTCTGCCTGTCTGTCCTACATAGTAGCTGTTACAGTCTTTACACTGTACATTGTAAGAGTGACTGGCTCAAAGGAACCGGGCCAGCTTCATTCCTAAGGCAGGTCTAAGACTCGTGGTTTCCTGGTTTCTAGGCTGTGCCTTTAATCACCACACCAAACTGGCTTTCAAATTAGATGAATAAAAAGTATCACAGTATCAGTTTACAAAAGTTCTGCTTGAGACGTACTTTGAGAACCAACATAAAACCAAATATAATTTTATTTTGTCCCTTGATTCACAAAGTTAAGATGAAGTGGTGAAGTAGTTGGAATATCATCAATCTGGAGCCATATACCGTAGATGTTTTGAACTACAGCTTCCTTTGCCTTTGAGACTGTCTGTGCTAGTTGAACTTTATGGAAGTTGATAGTCAAAAATGTATTGGAGCATATTGGGAAGACTGTGCCTATTTATAATGTCTCGTCTGAACTTAACCTATATTATAGGATAGTTTTGCATTGAATTCTGTGGAGGAAAGGTAGGATTAAAGTATTTACCAATACTACCCTCTTCATCATCCTCATTATCATCATCAGCTTCATCACATAAGTCCTAGACAATAATTAGAAAGATCCAGCAGATACTTTCATTCAGAAACCTTGCAAACTTTCCTATATTTCCTCCTTTATCTAAATCCATCTTAAGTATAATCAAGGAAATATCTGCATGTCTTTTGCCATTCCAAGACTTTAATATATTAATACAGATATTAGAATGAATTTACATGATGCATCTTTTGAAAATGGGGGTTCCATAATATCCTGAATAAATGTTTTGTAATTATATGAAAGAAAGAAGAAAAATCAGGAAGGGAGGGGGAAGAAATGAAGAGTGCCAAATTTTACAATATAAATACAAAAATCATTTTCCTGTTTCTGTGTCACAGTGCTTGTTAGCAAATTGTCCCCAGTGACAAAATCCATGTAGCTTAAAAATAGCAAGTATGGCTTTTCTCATTGTCAAGAGATACCTAAGGAATTCTCATTATTTCTCTGCAGTTATAATTTAAAGCAATGGCTAACAGGAAAAAGGTTCTATCTCTTATTTTATAATTTTTATTCCTCAAGAATATGCCATCCTTTTAATTAGATAGATGAACTAACAAGGTCTACTGTTTAAAAGCCAAATCATATTTATTTTAAAAAATGGCAACATTTTAAAAATATGCATATATAATTAATAAATATGACTGGGAATGTTTGCATATCATAGTTGGCCAGCCTCAATTGCTCCTGCTTGTTCCCTCAACCAACAGGAATGGATAAACAGGACATAGTTAGTCATGTCATATAAACCAAGATTCCTGGCTTCTATCTGTCAAACAAGATAGAATCAGACATGGAGTACAAGCCATGGTTTCCAACTTTGCTTGTTTGGAGGACAAGCCAGGGAATTTAGGTGCAATCAACACAATAAAGAGCTTCCCTAATCTATTTATCCGGTCCCAACGTCAATAGGAACCAAGCGAGATCATTGAGCCAGTGTGGTATAGTGGTCGAGGTGTTGGACTGGGAAAGCGGAGACTCAGATTAACATCGGCCTCTAGCCTCAGAAGCTCATTTTATTACTTTGGAGAAGATGCTGCTTCTCTGCTCAATCTACCTCATGTGGTTGTAGTTGTAGTTTCAGAGAAAAAAAATAGAACACCAGCTCCGCAGGAGGCCTTGGACATCTCTATGAAATACAAATCTAACAAATAAATATATTCTAGGACATTCTAATATACAGTACCATAATGTGTGAATTAGGCCTGTGTAACTAACTGTGACTGACTATGCCATTCTCTTTGTTGTGGGGTAATAATGTTGAAAAACACTTGATTTGAGGCTTTCCAATATGTCCATCAAGTGCATTGCCATTATGCAGAAATATTTTAGAAATACTATTTACATTTGCTGGAGATCTATGACACCTTCCCAGTACTGCCCATTTAAATAATTTCCTTATTTAGAAATGTTATATTTCTGCATGATAAAGGGCATTTCTTAGATACCTTCAAAGTGTTTTCTTTCCCAAGCTTTCACTTACCTTTCTCAGAAAGAGGCATTAAAGCAGGAAGTTAAGTATTAAAACAAAAGATGGGGAAGACCTAAAAATTAGGTCAGCCATTACAGGCATGTAATTTTTAAGTCACAGACTCGTGACCACAGAGTCTTGAAAAGAGGCAGCTATGTGAAAATGCCAGGTAAGCGTACGGCTGGGGGAACCGTCTGAATGTTGTGCTATTCTTCTCTAGCATCTTTGGAGCTAAGCAAAATCCATAATGCATCCTGATAAGATTCAGTCAGAATAAGAACATTCAGACATAATGAGGAGGAAACCCTTATATTTCTTCTGCCTGAAATCTCACAAGTTAATTGTTTTTAACCTCTAGACAGCTTTTCACAGATTCACAGAGAATATGGGGAAAATGACTACTCTATACAGGATAAAGATATAATTCTTCCTTATACTTATGCTTCCAAATTGTTACATTGTGATTGTACTATAATTATTTGTTATTACAAATTTGCAAATACAACCATCCCATTTGTTTTTGCAGGCACTTTTAAAGCTAGATTGCCAAGGATTAGTAGCCCGTATTACTCAGGATACAGTTATTTTTACTGCAGCTGTAAAACTTGGGAAGGGCTGGAGAGAGTTGGCGGAAAAATTAGCACGACTTACAAAACAACAAATTGATGCTTACGAAACTCCCCACCATGGCAAAAGTGGAGAAGTTGCTCCAGAGGTAAGATTCACAATATTTCTCTTGTATTCATTTGCTACCAAAAAAAAGTACAATAATTCTTTAAATTGAAAACTGACACACGGTAAGAGAAGCTTGAGAGAGGGAGTCACTTTCCATGGTACAGTGGTACCTCGGGATACGAACGCCTCTACTAACGAACATTTCGGGTTACGACCAG